AACCACAGAATAAGATTTCTATAGTCTATTAAGTTCAAACAATAACACGACTGGGCATAAATATACCATGAATACTCCTCCGGAATCCGCCGCTCCGCCTCTTCGTCTGGTCAGAATCCAAATCTGAATTTGCAGCGATCGAATGTTCAATTTTTCAATTCAGAAAATATTCTAGTTTCTATTTTCGATGACCGTTATCGGCTTCCAAGAGCCTAAAGAGCTCGAAATCGTAATCCATTTCCTCCACATTTTCGTTGTGATCATATTTGTCCACCATTTTGTACGATTCGTTCACTAAAAACGACTAAAACACTGTTTAAATTGTTGAATTGAGAATTATTTTTCGAAATATCGCCATTTCTAGGTCAACAGGAAGTCATGTTAGGCACTGAATAAATCGGGCAATCTAATTGGACAATACGAATGGCGCGAAAAAGTAAAGTTTTTAAAAGTTTGAAATCCGGCGTACGGGTCCGCCGGCAGTTGGGAGAGACATTTTAGTCTCGGCGGACGAGTCCGCCGGCAGCACGCTAAAGGTTAAGTTCAAACAATAAGGTTTGGAAGGAATAGAACAGAGAAATTTAATTCAATTAATAACTTTGAATGAGATTTTAACAGTCTATTTAGGTTCAAACATAGGTCGTTTGAATGACGGAGGTTTGAGAAAAGAAATAGAATAGCGAAATTCAATTATTTCGATCTAATTAATATTCTGAAGTATAATTTCTATAGTCTATCTAGATTCGGACATAGGTCATTTGGATGACGGAGGTTTGAGTAGAGATGGAAAGAGAGGAATTTTAATTAGTTTATGATTAAAATTGGATGATTACTCTGGGAATTTGATTGGCGATTGAATGATTAAATTGAAATTGTTCGTTCACTTGTACTTATTTTCGGCTAGAAGATTAGGCTATGAATCGGAAAATCTGGGCTGATCAGCAATAAAGATTGATTATCATTGGTTTCTGATCTGTTCTCTATTTGACTGTTTAGTTCGAATATTTGAGATTTGAAAGAAATAGTAGAAAATACAAGGAAACTTTGAACGTGAATGTCGGATCGGGAAACAGTTATTTTATCAGGGCAAATATTTCTATGGTCTATCCAGTGCAGTCAGAGATCACTTGGTGTGGTAGAGGATTGTTAGAGGAATAGAAGTGAAACAATTGTCCCGCCGTTAATTCCATATTAATTCACAATTCACGTGTAACCGCTGGAGAGGAAAAGCAAGTAATGTTTTCATGTAAGAAGGAGTCGATCAATTAGCGTCCAATTAACCAGCTAATTTTGAGTGTTGTGGGTAATTTGTAATTGAGCTATCACTTTAACGGGATAATCGTAACAGCCGTTTACGACCTGAGAACATTAAAGCATAACAAACCGGCGTGGGCAGCGCTTAAGCTGGTGTTATTTGTTTTCCTTGGTCTAGCTAGTTTAGAGCTCCAATTCGTCATTGTGTAATTCATGAGTTTTGGTTCTTCGTACTCGTTGAAAACTCCTGTTTTCACTGTTCGGGTGTTTAGAGGAATTGTTGCATATGGGAATTAGACTTCTGAACGTGTGTTAAAATAAATAGGGTTGTCATTTCGAGGTTCCGAAAGTCATATTTAAAACTCATATTAGGCCTTTGGCGCTGTAAAAGGAATTTAGGAATTACATTATAGGAGGCGGAGTCAGACAAGGTGTTGATTGACTTAACAAAGGGTGAATCCTTAGGGTTTATTGGATGTTCAGGTCTGAGACTTGTCTTTAAGCAGAGTACTTGTGCACTCCGAGTAAATCGGTCAATCAGTTGTTGGAATCATATAGTGGTTGTTTAGGTCTTGGTTTAATCCTGTGTGGCTAGAGATTTAATACTTCCTGGCGTGTATAGAGGGCATAAAAGACAATACAGTTAGAAAGCTTACCACTCTAAGTTCAAGTTGACCTTTTGTATAAGTGAACGCTGTACATCAGTAGTATAAAAAGTATCCATTTGAAATATTTAATAGACTATAGAATTCTTGTTTGTAGTAAATTATAAATATCACAATAATTAATCTGAGCAGTTATTTATAGATAACTAAAAGGCGTTTGATTGCATGCAGATTACGTATTTATTCATATAAAGTTAAACCAAATAAATTCATTATAGATAAACATTACCATCTTATAGTAAGTATCTTCAGGCTAAGTAGGCCTAGTGGGTGTTAGGGCTGAAACGAATAGTAAATTCTCATACCGAATATTCGGCCAGCCAATCCCTGTTCGGCCCCGAATATTCGCTAAAAACCCGGAAGTAAATGCCTATTTATTTAATCCTTTTAAATTGGTGTGTAGTTTCACCCTGACTCTTCCGCCTTTAGAACCTGTTTACTTGTACCCTTTACTTAATTTAGTTATAATCTTTAGAATACGAGTTCCATTATCCATTTCCGGTCACGTTAACCAAATCTCGTATTTACTCCGAGATTAATATTCTATCTTTAGCACTGACTTGAGCTAGTATTCTATATTGGTGGCAGCCTTGGTGGAATCTTTTTAAACCTTATTTAAAGAACCCTCTTAATTTTAATTAGTACAATTAAATTGGTTGTGGTGATTTACTTGCTTATTCTTGCTTTAGCGGTGGTATACACGCTTTTAGAGGGAAAATCTGTTACCCAGGCTCCTCAGCAACAAGGTGAAGCTGAGGAGACTGTAAATATTCGGAACTATAGGGATGGTGAAGTGGAGTTTGGTGTAGTCCATGAAGAAGATGGACAAACTCTGCCAGAAACCCGTCCGCCAGATGATGCGACTTTACCTTGGCATCCAGACACTTTTGAAGCTTATAATGAAGATGAAAAGAATGCTTTGTCAGCGAAATTTAAACATATGAATATTAAATCCGAGGTTTATGATGATGAAGATACATTTTTATTGGACTCTGATAATATGAGACAGGATGTTTACTATAAAACTATTTAAAGGGGAAAAACAGGGGGCGCTGAGAATTTCGGAGGGAATGATGGGCGTGTTTCCAAAGCGGGAACTTCCGTTAAATTTGACCTTCCTCCGCCTTTACAGAGGCAGGAACGGGATCAGAAATATATGACTAACTTACAAGCAGCCATACATTTTCAAGATGAACATCTGGCAAGAATGTCAACTCATGTTCAAAAGTCTTCGATTCCAAATTACGATGAATCGAAGGGTATGAAAGTGCACGTTTGTACCTCCATGCCATCGCAGGCCTCTACTAATGTGTCAAAGGGGGCAATCAACAAAAGCCCTATTATGACCCCACATATAACTCCTGTGTCATTAAGTACAAGATTTCAAGGTCAATTAACTAGGGAAAATGTATCTAAACATGGGGCGCTCATCAATAATCAGGGGGGTGAACTTTCCCATAGAAGTCATGTTCCATATGACAGCGGATTTGATTCTGACAAGGCGTTCGATAGCTTTGAAAGGGGTTTTGCAGCAGGGGTTAAATCAAACTCAAGAAAGAATTCATTCCCTATTTATGAAGATAAAACGCCATTTAGAACTAGGGTTAGACCAAATTTTAGTGGAAAGGAAAATGAATTTGAGGAATATTTTCAAGATCACTTAGATCAAATTGGTGTACGTCAAGGGGGTAGTAACCGTGTCCATCCCTCTGATGTTCCAAATGCAGGTCACCAAGATGCTTCAAGGAGGCATTCAATGGGCCTCGGGGCATCTGGGGTTACAGGTCGAGGTCACTGTAACGAATGTAGTCATCGCAGAGCGTCGACCCCTTTAACATATAATAGCACTCATAAATCTCCTAAATGTAATAAATATGACGGGAAGAATAGCCTTAGTGACTACCTTTCCCAGTTTGAGACTATTGCATATGAAAATGATTGGGATGATCGAGCAAAGGCATTGCAACTTGTGGGACAATTGCAGGGGACGGCACTGGCTGTTCTAACTGATCTCAGTCTGGAAGACCGTTTCAATTATGAGGTTTTGATCGCTGCACTGAAATATCGCTTTGAACCACCAGAACAGAATGAAACTTCAAGGGCTAAATTAAAGAATAAATTGAGGGGTGGGAAAGAAACACTTGAGGAATTGGCCCAGGAAGTTAGAAAATTATCAAGGGAGGCATTTCGGGGAATTCCAAGGGAAACTTTGGAATATTTTGCTATGACCTCATTCATTGATGCTCTGAATGATAAAGATCTTGAATGGCATGTCCAATCTACTAATCCAAAGACTTTGAATGATGCTCTTACTAGCGCGTTGAAATATGAATCTTTTCAAAAAGGGCGTGCCAAGCGCATGTCGCCCGAATTAAATGACAGTTCCACTCTATTGGTCAATACGAATTATGCAGTGAACAAAAGGAGGTGTTCTTTGCTGTTGGCTTTGTGGTTCTCCTGAACATTTCTTCCCAAAATGCCCTCAATTTTTATCTCAGGAAAATGTTATAGAGGGTAGGTCGGGAAACGGCCAGTAGTCGGGACGGGGGGTCAGATTCCGACTAATGAACTAAAGAGACCCTATATATTTAACCACTTAACGGATAGTGACTATAATGGCTTGTATTTGCAACTGAAATTTGAGGATGTTACTGTCCCAGCATTGATTGATACAGGTGCAACTATAAGTATACTTTCTGCTGATTCTGCCAAAATTTTAGGTCTTTTGGGTAAATGTGAAAAAGATGGCAGAATTGCAGATATCACAGTGGCAAATGGGGAGAAAGTGAATTGTCATGGAAAATTGAACTTAGATATTCATTTTGGACAAGGGATTAGGGTGACTCATGAATTTCTTGTGGCAAATATTCCAACTCCAGCTATTTTGGGATATGATTTTCTGAAGAGTCAAAATGCAGTCCTTAATGTCGGGGATGCACTTTTAACCATGCATGGCAAAGATTTTGATTGTATTTTAGAGACAGATTTGTCTACCCGTTGCCGAATTTTGATGCAAAAAACGGTTAAAGTGCCTCCCATGACTGAAATGATTGTACCTGGGAAAGTAAGATGTCAATATTTGGGTGATACACCATTACTTATTAAAATGGGTGGGAAATTGGCAAATAGAGTAAAGTATCCGCCCCTGATTGTTGCCAAATCCTTGTTTGATCCTGGTCAACCTTTTATTCCCATTAGAGTGGCTAATCTTAGCTTGGCACCTGTTTTTCTCTACAAAAATACTGCAGTAGCAACTGGTGAACCGATGTTTGACATGGGTGAACCTGTTGTTTATTGTAGGGAAAATGTTGACGTCCAGGATGATACTGATCATGATACTGACCTTGGGGTGGGGACGAATGAATGTTTCCGGACAAGTGAAGGGTGGCACAGTGCTTTATCCAGAGTAAGAGGTCCCGCCTTGCCCTATGCTAGCAGCACGGAATCTCAACCTGATATTAGACCTGGACCAAATAGTTTAGATAAAGGTTCCATGGGGGTTGAGGCTGTCGTTGCTGATCTCGCGGCTGATTCTAGAAGGTCCGACTCTCGGACTTGTCCTACTACTGTAACTGAAAATGTTAGTCAGTGCTTCAAGGGGAGTTTGATTTATCCCTCCTCTGCTCAGGAGACTTGCTCTAATCAGGCCCAGTCCTGGCAAGAGGGAGACAATGCAGTATGTACATCACAGGGCCAGTATCGTGAATGCACTATGAATGAAGATCCCGACTATATGAAACCGATATTAGACAATTCTCGGACTCACTTGACAGATGGGACAGAAAACAGGTTGAGCAGTTTCTGTTGAAACATAAAGATGTTTTTGCCAAAACTAAGTATGACTTGGGCAAGACAGGTGTAATTAAGCATAAAATTGATACAGGAAATGCTCGACCAGTTAAACAGGCCGTGAGACGAATGCCTTTATCCAAAGAAGCCGGGTACCAAGAGACCCTGGACGAAATGTTAAAACATGGACTTGCTCGACCTTCGAAGAGCCCATGGGCTTCACCTGTCACAGTATTGCTTATGCTATCCTCCTGGCTCACTTAGCTGTCCAACAAAAATTAATGTATTTCTATAGCAACGGCTTCACTTACTGAGATCAGCTAAGGCTAAGTTCCTTGTTACTGCATTGCTTAATTCGGTCAGTTTAAAAAATTGTATTTAGACCATATAACACCACTCTATGTTTAGCCCAATTTGTCATTTTTGAGTAATTTAATCTCTTCTTCAACATTCCCAAGTTTGTATTTCTCAAATAATGAAGTAGAAGTCTAGAAGTCTGGTACCGAAAAAAGACGGATCTTATAGACTTTGTATAGATTTTAGAAAATTGAATGACGTGACTATTAAGGACGCGTACCCCTTACCAAGGATTGACGACACTTTGGACTCATTAGGGGGAGCAAAATGGTTCAGTGTTCTTGATATCTCCTCAGGTTTTTGGCAAATATCACTTGACAGGGCTGACGCTGAAAAGACTGCATTTTGTACTAAACGTGGTTTGTTTGAATTTACTGTTATGCCTTTTGGTCTGGCTAATGCGCCAGCAACTTTTCAGCGTTTGATGGAATGTGTCCTTGCTGGACTTTCCCCAGAGTCTTGTTTGGTCTATCTGGATGATATTGTTGTGTTCAGCAAGGATGTTCAGAGTCATTTGGATAAACTAGGGAGTGTATTTGACCGGATGAGGGGGGCAGGTCTGAAGCTTTCCCCGAAGAAATGTAATCTGTTCCAAAAGGAGGTGTCATATCTAGGTCATATTGTCTCTGAACAAGGGGTGCGAATTGATCCAAAGAAAACTGAATCTATTGTTGGGTGGCCTGTGCCAAGAACTGTCAAACAAATTCAATCTTTTGTGGGTTACTGTTCCTATTATCGGAAATTTATCAAAGACTTTTCTGGTATAGCTAGGCCTTTGTACAAGCTCACTGAGAAGGGCGTTCGCTTCAATTGGGATTCTGCTTGTCAAAAAGCCTTTGATGAATTGAAGAGGAGATATATTGGATCAGCCATGTTGAATTTTCCTGATAAATCCAAAGAGTTCATTCTTGACACTGATGCTTCTGCTTGTCAGGTTGGTGCTGTACTTCAACAGGAAGTTGATGGTGAGGTCAAGGTCCTTAGTCATTATAATAAGTCTCTGAGTAAAACAGAAAGAAACTATTGTGTCACCAGACTTGAGCTTTTAGCAATTGTCAGAGCTGTGAAGGTCTTTCATCATTATCTTTATGGCAGTCACTTTAGGGTTCGAACTGATCATGGAGCTTTGACTTGGTTGATGCGTTTCAAAGAACCAGAGGGCCAATTGGCTAGGTGGATGGAAAGGCTAGGGCAGTATGACTTCAAGATAGAACATCGGGCCGGCACTAAACACTTGAATGCAGATGGTTTATCTAGGAGGCCTTGTGAAGACTGTTCTTACTGTGAAAGACAGGAAAACTTGGGTAGAGTCTCTAAGCAGGTTAATGAAAATAGAGAACCTGAAGAGGGACTGCAAGTTGGAAGTCTTGATGTTGTCTTTTCAGCAAATGATTCTTCTCCTCTTTTGTGGAATATTACAGTTTCCGGTTCAAATTGGGCTCCTGGTATTACTCCTGGGGAATATGATGAATCATTACAGAAGGATGAGGTCTTGGCAACTTTGGTAAAATGGCTCGCGGATGGAGTTAGGCCTGAGGGGTCTGAAATTTCAAATAAGTCACTTACCTTGAAACAATACTGGGCTCAGTGGGACAGGATGAAACTTGAGAAGGGAATATTGTATAGAAAATGGGTTGACACTGATTTGGGTGTGACCAATTGGCAAATTGTTGTACCAAAAGATCTACAAAATTTGATTTTAGAAGCCACTCATGAAGCATTGGATAGCGGTCATTTTGGTGTGAACAAGTCGGTCGGTAGGCTTCGTAACAAGTACTATTGGGTTGGGTTCAAGGCAGATGTGGCTCGTTGGGTAGCTGGGTGTGAATTATGTCAAAGGCGGAATCCACCTAATCTTAAACATAAGACTCCAATGAAGCAATACAATGTAGGTGCTCCTTTAGAGAGGGTGGCAATTGACATTTTGGGTCCTTTACCAGAGAGCTTGTCAGGGAACAGATATGTGGTTTCCATTGAAGATTATTTTACCAAGGTATTAGCCTTGGGTCCTGTTCCAAATCAAGAAGCTAGCACTGTGGCTTGGGCTTTTTTGAGACATTTCATTTGTTTGTATGGGTCTCCTTTACAAATCCACTCAGACCAAGGACGACAATTCGAATCGAAATTATTTAAAGAACTATGTGAGATGTTTAAGATGAGCAAGACCAGGACAACGCCTTATCATCCCCAGTCTGACGGTATGGTAGAGAGGTTGCATCGCACTGTTGAGGCAATGTTATCCAAAATTGTAGCGACCGACCAACGAGACTGGGACGTATGTTTACCATTCGTGGTGACGGCCTATAACAGTGCAGTTCATGCGTCGACGGGTTATAGCCCCAATTTTTTGATGTTTGGAAGAGAGGTAAGGACCTCTGTTGATCTTTTACTCGGGCCTCCTCCTGAAATTGAGCAAGGGGATTTGGGAGGTGAATATTACACCAAGTATTGTCAGCAATTGCAAGGCATGATGCTCAATATTCATGAGGCAGCCCGAAATAATATTCAATTAGCAAGTGATAGACAAAAGAGGGGCTATGATCTGAAAACCAATCTGAAAGCATACGAAAGAGGTTCGCTAGTTTGGGTTCATATTCCGGCTGTAAAAGTGGGTCAAACATCAAAATTCGCGCTTAAATGGCATGGTCCATATCAGGTAGTGGAGAAATTAGACGATCTCCGTTACCTTATCAAAATTAGTGAAAAAGATAAGAGAGTCATTCACCACGACCGATTAAAGAAGTATGTTCCGAAACTCAAAGAAAATTCCGCTCCGGAACTTGAAACCACTAGAGGTGCTGAAACTCCAGGGTCAGATGTTGTTGAACCTGTCCAGGTCACGGCAAAGAGGGGCAGGGAACGCAAAAAACCAGGGTGGTTAGATGAGTATGAGACGTATAAGGGTCACCAAGGAGGAGAGTCAGGCCGAGCAATTTAAGATATATAATCATTATTATATTTTATAACCGTATATCCACCATTATGCTTTGTTACCACTTTAACCACCATTGTAATGATCAGTGTCTTTAAAGCCACTCAGGTGTAAAGATTATACAGGAGTGGGGAGAAAGACAAGAAATGTCCATGAATGTTTTATTCTCTTTCAGGAATGTGAAGAGCGGGTGACCCCACCTCCCAATTGGCAGAAGGGCCGCCCCTACTATTGTAGACGGGCCTTTGACACGCAGGAGGCCCTGAAGATACACATAGCTTGTGCGCACACACCTAGCGAGCGTTGTGGGGTGTTCGGGTGCCGGGCGAGCTTCTGCCCAAACGAAGCTGAGGCACTGCAGTTACACAGGCTGCGGGGGCATGTCTATTCCCCCGTGGGAGGGACTGAGCCCTGCCGTAAAAGGCCCAGGACTCTAGTCAGAACGATCAAAGTCGAGACAGATACGGATGGGAGTACCCCCGCACTGCCAGCCCCTGGAGTGGCGGTCGAGAAAGAGAAGGCAGATCAATCCTGCCAGGCATCACCAGCATTTTCGGGGTCCACCGACACAGCCCCTGAGACACAACAACTTGAAGATTCCCATGCCCGTGTCCAGGATTGGTTAGACGGGTTAGAGGGCAGACTTAAGGATGAGAGGGACTCAAGCTCCTTCCGATGGTCCGTCGGAACCTTGGAGAGTTTGGATTTCTCACTAGGGGTGTAGGATGAACTGCAGACTTTTGGACTTTTGAGAACCTTTCATAAATTTACTACAAACTTTTGGACTTTTGAGAACCTCTAATGAATTTACTACAAACTTTTGGACTTTTGAGAATTTTATAAATGCAATAGCAACTTTTGGACTTCTTTTAACAGATCATAATGACATACCTCGGAAATTTTTGGACTTTTGAGATGAGATTCCTTTGTGCAGGGGGTATGTTTAGAGAGAATTTATTTTCGTATACTCGTAACATATGGTGTAAATAATGTAAATAGAAGTGGTAAGTGAACTGTGCTAGTTGTTGTATTTAATCATCAGTTGTTTGAGGGCAAACAATTTTCTTCTTTAAGGGGGGTAGTTGTAGAGATCCTCCCTACACGTAAACTAATAATTATGCGAGAGTGTGATAGGTAATGCAGGGAAACACAATAGTTTTGGGGGACCCTTTTTTATGGGTTATGGTTTTGGGAATGAATCAGAAACAGATGATATTTTTGTTGAATAATTTAAGTGTACTGAGAAATGATGGGTCCTTGGATGATAAATTGTTTGTTGCTGTTCTATTTTTGCCTGGTTTCTGCGAATTTAATCCTCAATTATGAAGCTCTGTTTTGGTGATAGTGGGTTCCTGGCTCTTGGGTGAAGTTCCTCATAAATTATACTTTATGAATCAGTGTTTGGCCTTGAAAATGCCTTCGGTCTGCAGAATTCGATAGGGTTTAAGAAACACCAATGAAGAAATTCAGGGGATTCCCCGTGACTCACATACAGTGATGCGGTGAGAAACTCCGTATGTTGCTATAATGTTGTGATTCTTGATAGGAATGTGCTTACCCAGCATTCTGCGGGCCCACTGTAGTTTGAAAATACCTTTAAAAAATGTGTCCTTGGGTATTTTTTATGGGGCAATCCTGTGAATATTTGCATGGATAGCAATTTTGTGTAATTTCTGAGAAATATTTCCAAATACCAGGCCGTGACCGTTTAGTATAAATTGACCAGTGTACATGCTTTGATGTAACAGTTTTGATCGCTATCGGCCGGGGAATCAGCATAGTATAACAAGAAAAAGACATCTGGACTCGACTTGGGACAATTTTTCACAACCACTGTATATTGTCTTCGAATACGCGTTATAATAGTACAGAACTGCAGAAAGGAAACCTGACTTTGGAGAGTTTTTCCATGAGAAAATGGCAACTGCACCTGTGAGGCTATTTGTGAGTACAAATTGATTGTTAAATCGTCAGATTGGAGTTCCCAAAAGAGACAATTAAAATATAGAATCATCATTACCGATATTAAGTCAAATTAAACTAAACCACAGAATAAGATTTCTATAGTCTATTAAGTTCAAACAATAAGGTTTGGAAGGAATAGAAGAGAGAAATTTAATTCAATTAATAACTTTGAATGAGATTTTAACAGTCTATTTAGGTTCAAACATAGGTCGTTTGAATGACGGAGGTTTGAGAAAAGAAATAGAATAGCGAAATTCAATTGTTTCGATCTAATTAATATTCTAAAGTATAATTTCTATAGTCTATCTAGATTCGGACATAGGTCATTTGGATGACGGAGGTTTGAGTAGAGATAGAAAGAGAGGAATGTTAATTAGTTTATGATTAAAATTGGATGATTACTCTGGGAATTTGATTGGCGATTGAATGATTAAATTGAAATTGTTCATTCACTTGTACTTATTTTCGGCTAGAAGATTAGGCTATGAATGGGAAAATCTGGGCTGATCAGCAATAAAGATTGATTATCATTGGTTTATGATCTGTTCTCTATTTGACTGTTTAGTTCGAATATTTGAGATTTGAAAGAAATAGTAGAAAATACAAGGAAACTTTGAACGTGAATGTCGGATCGGGAAACAGTTATTTTATCAGGGCAAATATTTCTATGGTCTATCCAGTGCAGTCAGAGATCACTTGGTGTGGTAGAGGATTGTTAGAGGAATAGAAGTGAAACAATTGTCCCGCCGTTTATTCCATATTAATTCACAATTCACGTGTAACCGCTAGAGAGGAAAAGCAAGTAATGTTTTCATGTAAGAAGGAGTCGATCAATTAGCGTCCAATTAACCAGCTAATTTTGAGTGTTGTGGGTAATTTGTTATTGAGCTATCACTTTAACGGGATAATCGTAACAGCCGTTTACGACCTGAGAACATTAAAGCATAACAAACCGGCGTGGGCAGCGCTTAAGCTGGTGTTATTTGTTTTCCTTGGTCTAGCTAGTTTAGAGCTCCAATTCGTCATTGTGTAATTTATGAGTTTTGGTTCTTCATACTCGTTGAAAACTCCTGTTTTCACTGTTTGGGTGTTTAGAGGAATTGTTGCATATGGGAATTAGACTTCTGAACGTGTGTTAAAATAAATAGGGTTGTCATTTCGAGGTTCCGAAAGTCATATTTAAAACTCATATTAGGCCTTTGGCGCTGTAAAAGGAATTTAGGAATTACATTATAGGAGGCGGAGTCAGACAAGGTGTTGATTGACTTAACAAAGGGTGAATCCTTAGGGTTTATTGGATGTTCAGGTCTGAGACTTGTCTTTAAGCAGAGTACTTGTGCACTCCGAGTAAATCGGTCAATCAGTTGTTGGAATCATATAGTGGTTGTTTAGGTCTTGGTTTAATCCTGTTTGGCTAGAGATTTAATACTTCCTGGCGTGTATAGAGGGCATAAAAGACAATACAGTTAGAAAGCTTACCACTCTAAGTTCAAGTTGACCTTTTGTATTAGTGAACGCTGTACATCAGTAGTATAAAAAGTATCCATTTGAAATATTTAATAGACTATAGAATTCTTGTTTGTAGTAAATTATAAATATCACAATAATTAATCTGAGCAGTTATTTACAGATAACTAAAAGGCGTTTGATTGCATGCAGATTACGTATTTATTCATATAAAGTTAAACCAAATAAATTCATTATAGATAAACATTACCATCTTATAGTAAGTATCTTCAGGCTAAGTAGGCCTAGTGGGTGTTAGGGCTGAAACCAATAGTAAATTCTCATACCGAATATTCGGCCAGCCAATCCCCGTTCGGCCCCGAATATTCGCTAAAAACCCGGAAGTAAATATAAGTTGTTTGATTCCTAAGAGCATGTGATGTAAATACGCCAAGTTTGAATAGAATGCTGGCTGTGTTATGTAAACCATTTGTTTGTTTGTAATATTATTACATTTAATTACGTCAATTGAGCATTTTATTTACCTATTTGTTTGTTAATTTCACCAATAAAACAGTAAATAAAAACCATAGATCCCGGCCAGATTATTTTGAGGTAGGACAGTAGTTCAATAAATATTCCTCAAGATGAGACACCTCAGAAAATATCAAATTTTAAAATGACGATTCTGGAGCCATTTCTGAAAAATATGAGACAAATCATACCTCATTCGAAGGGTCTTGTTATTCTTTACCTTTTTTATCACCAATGACCGTTATTCAAGCAATACTGCGTTGATAAGAGGCCAAAACAGTGATATTTTATCGCCGGACTCTTGTCTGTCCAAATCTGAATGGTGCTCCCGTGGTTCCAGAAATGTGACGTCATCAGTACAATGATATTTGGACACACAAGAGTCCGGATTTCGTGAAAAATATTCGCCGTATTAAAAGTCAAATAACTGCATCCATAGGTTATTTACTCGAACCAAACAAGTAGAAATAGAAAGATGAAGATCTCAGCTATAAAATAAGTGCAAAATCTGTCACGGGGAAGCAGGTAACATTTTGTATAAGGAACGTTTTGAAAGGTGGTCACTTTTTTTGAAATTTTCCAATTTAGTGTCATATCTTGTGAATTATTCTTTGAGCCTATGAGATTCTACTACAAAACGATCTGGCCAATATCTGTGATAAAAACGAAAACAAAAAATACAACCTTCTCCCGGCGTGTTAATTACGTCATCGGGAAACACCAAATATACGATGGTTCTAAAACACACACCATACGTAATAGTAAGTAAAGAAACAATCACCGATTACTGTAGAACTTTTTTATAGTATTCGAATTCAAAATAGTGAAGTTGTAGACGATAAGACAATGCAACGGTTGTGTTATGAATGATTATAAATACTTATTCCAAGCGCATGCGCTAAAAACCGAATCTAAAAACGAACCTGGCGCAGATTGCCTCTCGTCAAACGAATGTTCTTAACTTTATATTCAAGTTAATACCATTAATCAGCAGTACTCAGAGCGTCAGAGGTTACAAGTAAGAGCTGCAGATGACTCTTAGGTGAGTAACCGTGTAATCTATATCGGGATATGCCTTAGAATTGGGTTTGTCTTGGCGGGAGACTAAATCGGCAACCGAATACTCGAGTATTCGTTTCACCCCTAGTGGGTGTTGTAGCACATTGTTGTTGCCTATTTATTTAATCCTTTTAAATTGGTGTGTAGTTTCACCCTGACTCTTCCGCCTTTAGAACCTGTTTACTTGTACCCTTTACTTAATTTAGTTATAATCTTTAGAATACGAGTTCCATTATCCATTTCCGGTCACGTTAACTAAATCTCGTATTTAAAATATAGTTGCATCTTTCCACGCTATTTCCCTATAATTGTTATATAAAGTTGTGAAATAAATATAAATACATTCATAGAATACTGCTTTGTTCACTTATTTTGACCAATTTTGTTGTTATTGACCAAAAAATAATGCAAAAGAAAAAATTCAAATATTTTTGAAATTATTGATTTACGGTTCGACCAAGAGGCTGAACTGCGAAATTTAAAATATAATTATTGAAATATCAAGCCATCTACTGGGCAACAGATGCACTTTTTGAAACTAGTTTCAAGTATAACAATACTAGGGGTATCAGCGAACGTTGAGAAGATGAGCTAGATTGATGAAAAAGGTTAGAATATGTTCGTTTTCATTCAAGTCAATCAAGGCCCGATTTCTGAGAAAAATTCAATTTTCAATTAGATTATCTAAAAATATTTTCTCAATATCCATGCTTTGTGAGATCAGTTCATCAATATTTCCAATTGAAACACATATATAGGGTGTAAAGGGTTACTATATTGTTAATTTTACTACCTTTATGCACCTACAAAACCTTGAATGGCAGATGAATTCACTCTGTTAATTTTTATGGCCGATTTTAAAAGCTTTATTTTTTCACTATTTTTCGTCTTACCTCACTCTTATAGCTACTGTAAGATGTCATGGCACATTAAAATCTTGTTGCAAGGTGTGTAGGACAATCAACACAAATATATTTTGAAAAATGTTGAGTAGTATAGGGAGGGGGGCATAGGAATTCAGGGGGAGCATAGGGATTCAAGGGGGGGGGTGTATCAGAAGCCTTTGTTAGGGAAACCCATGGAAGGCCAAGCAGTTTGAGGATTAATTGCATGTTCATGATCTATCTGGTTTATTAGCAATCA